GGCAGTGTCACTGGCCCTCATATGTGGGATCCGAACCGGGGCCCTCTGGCATCCCAAGCCAGTTCTTAACCATCGCGCCACTCGGCCGGCCCTCCCTTGCATTTTTAAACTGTTAATTCGTGTGGAACTTAATTTTATTTGCGTTGTAAATTAGGAATCTAACTTTGCAATGTTTTCCCCACGTTTCATTTGCGATACTAATGAAGGGTCTGTCACACATGCCTGATTGGAAATGCTGTATTTAGTTATCCTGATGGTGCTAGTTTTTGTGTCGGTGAAGCTTTGTTTCCTATCTGATGGTACATCAACTCAATGTCTCTGATTATTTTAAATTCACTTTGATGTTCCTAGGTTTTAGATAAATAAAGTGTCTGGTTATGTGTATGTATGTTTACATTAAGCATAATGTTAAACACCTGTGACCTATCCGCCTACCTTAAGAAATGGAAAATGATCATTATATTGAAATTCAGGAATATTTTCCACAACTTACATGAACACAGTATTGAATACTGTTTAGAAATAAACTTGTTCCTTGCTTTTTTTTTGCTCTTATATCATACTTATTTGTATCCCTAAATCATAGTGGTCGATTTTTAGTTTTAAAGGTAGTTAGATTGTATAGATTCTTTTGCAGCTTTATGTTTTTGTTCTGCAGTGTTTCTAAAGTCTGTCGAGTGTAGTGGGGGTTTCCTTCACGTGAATATCTTCATGTGTAAGCGTTCCTCCAGGACACACTGGAGAGAAGTGCTGGGTCCAGGGGCATGCTCATGTTCAACTCCATACTCCACAGCCCAGCCCCTCTGCCGGTGGAGCCTCAGTTTATAGAGGAAACCTCTGGCCCAGCACATCATGATTAGAGAGTTTTTTGTTAGAGGGTTTCAGGATTTCTGGTCCACCTTCATACAGAAAGAGCAGTATGTATTTGTTCTTTAAAAAATTAATTTGTTTATTTTTTTCTACTTACAAAAGCAATACATACTTGTGATTAAGTATTTTAGAAAGCCTTCAAGCCATGAGACTCAGGAACTATAGAAAATGAAATCTGTAACCATTGTTAACAGGTTAGCATGTAGACAAAAATAGTTTTGTCTCCACACCCCCACCCCCAATAGTCACGTATCATCTCTACGTGAGTAAGAAAGGTATTTTTTCCACCAAGCTTGTGCAAGTTTGTAAGCCATAGTGTTGTGTTAATTGAGGGCTTCATGCATGTGTCTCACTCATCTCTCTGTCTTCCCCTGCAGAGAACCGCCTGATCCCCACCGAGTTACGCAGGGAGGCTCTGGCCTTACAGGCGTCCTTGGAGTTTGACGACGCTGGCAGTGAAGGTGATGTTCCCCAACACTGGGCCAACTCCTTCCTGCACTCGAGCCCACTGGCCTCCATGTCCTTCCTCAAACACCTTGAGAAAAGGCTCTGTGACTCCTGTTCCTAGAACTGTCCCCCAAGAGTCCTCATGGCTCTGCACCGATGGCACCTCAGAGGAGCTCTCCCAATTGCATTTAGAGACACATACAATATTATCCAACATACCGTCTGCTTTGATTTGTCTGTTAATTGTTCCCTTCACTGGAACATGAGTTCTGCCATGGCAGGATGGTGTCCATTTTGTTCACTGCTGTTTCCCTAGCTCCCAGCACTTCATTGGCACCCAAATGTTTCACTCATTGCATTATTCAACAAATATGAAAGGAATCACAAATGTTATAAATATTTATTATAGAGGTAGGAGTCTGTTACCTTTGGTCTTAATAGTATCTGACTTATGGTGACACGATAGCCACTAGCTCTGTGTGATTAATACAGCTTACATAACTGAAATTCAGTCAGATTAAAAAATTTGGTTCCTCAGTCACACTTGTGCCTGTAGCCACTGTGGTTGGGCCCACCCTCTTGTCCGGGGTGGGTGTGGAGCATTTCATCACTGGAGGTACTCAGATGGTGCTGTTCTGTATAGATTCGGCTGCCTCTAAGTTAGTATTTCACTTCTCGCTCCTCATACTTCTGACAGGTGTGACGAGCCACGTGGATGACGAATATCGATGGGCAGGTGTCGAGGATCCCAAGGTCATGATTACTACCTCCCGAGACCCGAGTTCCCGCCTCAAGATGTTTGCAAAGGTACCAGTAGCAGGGAGTGAGTGGGAGACACCCAGGTACCGGGCCAGGTCCTAACCAGAGTGCATGTGCAGGAGCTGAAGTTGGTGTTCCCGGGCGCCCAGCGCATGAACCGGGGCCGCTATGAAGTGGGGGCGCTGGTGCGAGCCTGTAAAGCCAACGGGGTTACCGACTTGCTGGTTGTCCATGAGCATCGCGGCACACCTGGTAAGCCTGGTGGGACAGAGAGGGTGTCTGCTGGGGTGGCATCTGAGAGCAGATGTGGTCTCTGACGGCCTGCCTGGCCCCGCCAGTCGGGCTCATTGTCAGCCACCTGCCCTTTGGCCCCACTGCTTACTTCACACTGTGCAATGTGGTTATGCGGCATGACGTCCCCGACCTGGGCACCATGTCAGAGGCCAAACCTCACCTCATCGTGCATGGCTTCTCCTCCTGCCTGGGCAAGCGGGTGAGTCCTGAGCCGCGGGCCATGGGGCAAGGTTGGGGACAAGGGTTGCCAGGCAGGGCATTCCCCTATCCTTCTCTCTGCTCCAGGTCTCTGACATTCTTCGTTACCTGTTCCCTGTGCCCAAAGATGACAGTCACCGCATCATCACCTTCGCAAACCAGGATGACTACATCTCCTTCCGGTGTGTCTGAGCTGGGCTCTGGGGTGATACCATGGTCTTTGTGTTCCTGTGCTGTTTGTTGTTGACCCAGAGCTGCTCCCTGCCTCCTCTCACTCCTGCCCACCTCCCCATGTCCCAGGCACCACGTATACAGGAAGACGGACCACCGTAATGTGGAGTTGACTGAGGTTGGGCCTCGCTTTGAGCTGAAGTGTGAGTTGGGGCTTTATCTCACGTCTGGTGTTGGGGGCATGCTGGCTGTATAGGTCACAATGTTCTTGTCCTTCACCAGTGTACATGATCCGCCTGGGCACGCTGGAACAGGAGGCCACAGCAGACGTGGAGTGGCGCTGGCACCCCTACACCAACACTGCACACAAGAGGGTCTTTCTGAGTGCTGAGTGAACGCACTCTCCAGTCAGGATGTGGACTTGGACCCAGGAGGTGGGGGAGGTCAGAATAAAGTCTCTGCCATACCACCTCGTTTGCCTCTGAGTGGCTCGGACAGACCTGCTGTCAGGGTGATTGTGAAGGACTGTCCGTGGCAGCTCCTCGGGTGGGGACCTGACACTCAGCGACATTCTCAGGCCTGGTGTTAACATTGTGTCTAGGACAAGGCAGGCCTGGCATGCTGGCTTGCCCGTGACCCACTAGGAGGTTTTGGTGCTGCCCCTGAGAGAATTGGTGCTGCTGTCACTTGGGAGTGCGGGCCCTGTGATAGCTAATCATCTGGGACGGGGCATGGGCACAGGTGGCAGGGCCTGTTGTGTTTGCTGCGGACGAGCCTGAGACTTGGGACTGACACGGGGGACGGGAACTCAGTGCTCAGCAGGATCCTTCTTGCCTGCCGCAGTACAGAGGCACACCTTCTCTCTACTCACTAGGGACGCGGTGACACTTTAGGGACTACCCACTATGCTCCAGCTCTCTTGTCAGGGAGGGTTTATCTGAGGTCACAAAGGAGGGCTGCCCAAGAGAGGCTGGGGTCTTCTGGCTTCATCACACTCATCCACTTTGTCCTCCCTCTCTGCCCACTTCCCTCATCTGTACCCAAGGGCCCTGGTTTTACACACAATGGGTGCCAGGACCCTACAGGATGCACACAAGTTAACAAGAAATCCATCACGCCAGGTGGAGACAGGCCTATGGAGAAACAAGTCAGGCAGGGGACAGAGGGAAGAGGCCTCTGCAGGTGCCCTGAGAGCTACATGATGGCATGAAATAGCAGGCGCCACCTGGCTGACCCAGGCAAAGACTGCAGTAGACGGTGCTCATAAGCGCTCCAGTGAGAGCAGGGGACCATTGGACCCACTGTGCCACCACGTTAGAGAAAGCAAAGGATGGGACCTAATAGGATAGCCGTGACATCTGGCTGCACTAAGGCCAGTTAGTTCCTTCTTCAGGGCCTTCCAGGGCCTCTCCCAGTTTGCCACAGCCTCACTTCACAAATGGAGACTATGCCATTAAAATATATTGTTAACTTATGGAAATTCCAAAAGACAAAAGGAGAGTAGTGTGATATCCTGATTTGGTTTCTTGGGGCTACCACAACAAATTGCCACAAACAGTGGCTTAAAACAACACACTTATTCCCAGTTCTGTAGGCCAGATGTGAAAAACGAAGGTGTTGGCTCCACCCCCAGCTCCTCCATTCCTTGCCTCGTCCAGCTTCTGGTGGCTGCTCCTTGGCGTTCCTTGGCTTATCACTGTGTCACTAGTCTCTGCCTGTGTCTTTTGGGTTTCCTCAATGTCTATCAAGTCTCCTCTGTATGTCTCCTGTAAGGACACTTGTCATTGGATTTATAGCCCATCATAAAATCCAGGATGACCTTCATTTCACATATGCAAAGACCTATGTTCCCAAATTCACATTCACTGGCTCTAGGAATTAGGCTGTGGCATATGTTGGGGGCCACCATTCATCCAATTGCCTGTTCCCATACTGAAGGTGGGCTGCAGTAGGTGTGGACCTCCTGCCCTAACTGTGCTGTTTGCCTGCACCTCATGCCAACGTCACAGCCGTGACAAGGCTGCCTCTGCCGACTGAGCATCCTAGGTGAGTGCTGGTTCCCCAGCACACAGCAGGCCCTTAGTCACTGGTATTTTGTTTCTTAATGTGAATATAGATGTCTCACGTAGAGCGGGGCTTGGCGCTGGAGGCCAGCTGCCGGCCAGGAACAGAGAGAAAATAAGATGCAAACTATTATTCACTTCCTTGTGGCCTCCACTGTGTTAAGCATTTGAGTGTAAGTCTTGCAAATTCCTCAGAGAAGCTGACACCTCAAGCTTACCAGCTGTGGTGGACTTTATGAAGGGTAATCAGGTCCACGTGTGCTCAGCAGCTGTGTTTAGCCATTGGGGATGGGTGGTATCAAATCCTGGTAACACTGGGGAAATGGGTCCCCTCATACTGTTCTGGTGGAAGAAGCTATGGGTAGTGGCTTTGCGGATGGCAGTTTGGCATGGTGGTTTCCGCATTTAAAATGTGGCTCTGCTTAAGTCACCATCCTAGGGTCAGAAATTGTCGCAGGGGTACTGCTGGGGACAGCTTGGGCACAGCCATGCTTGGATGTTTGAGCAGGGGCGTTTGTGAAATGAGGCAATGAAATAACAGTAACTGAAGAGAAATACAAGATGGGGGAAATGTCCGCTGGTGCCTTGCGTAGTGCACAGATAATGTCTTGAGGACTCACGGGGAGCCTTGGATTTGAGGGGTGGCACAGCATGAAGGGATGTCTGTCCATCTTTGGACTTTTCTAGGTAGAAATCAGTACTTGTGTAATTAGGAAATATGAAGGACAAGGGAGGAGACCGAAGTAGACATGGGCTCTGGTCCCAGTGTAGTGCTCAGAAGCCCTGCATCATGTCTGCAATTGACTTTTGAAGTTCTAGGATTCTTCTCAATATTAAAAAATATTAACAACTGGAGAATCCATGTGAATGGGCTTCTGGGAGATCTGGGCCCTATTTTTGTACTGAAATTTGACAATATTTCAAAAAAAAAGTTACTGAAGTCTTAAGGGAATCACTGTTAATCTTGGGTGGCATCACATTGGGATTACTTTATAAAGTGTTCTTAGTCTATAGTTTTTACAGGCATGGTGAAGTATTTGGGGGGTGAAATACTAGCTTGGTATTTGCTTGAAAATGCTTCAGCAGAGGGAGAAAACTTAAGCAAAATACTAATTTAGGTGATGCAGACGGAGTTTGTTGTATGCTGCTTTTATGTGTATTTTACATTTTTCATAGTAAAAGATTAAAAGGAAAATAATTACAAATGCCTTCCACTGTTATAAAAGCAGCTTTTGTATTTTTGGTTTGCTTTAAATTATTGAAAGTCTTCAAATAAAAAGATCTAGAAGGAGACATGCCAACCATTAGTAGTGGTTGAAAGCCATCAAGAGTTAGGGCCAAAGGGTAATGGAGAAGTTTATTCCACATCTTTGATCTGAAACCTTTAGGAGAGAGATGTAGTCTTTCTTGTACAAAAAGAAGTAAAAATGCAGGCCGACAAGAAGTGCCTTTTCAGTTGACGTCCACCAAACTGGCTGCAGAACCTTCTGCCCACCATCCTTCATTCTTTTCTTAGGATGCATTCCTAGAATTGGAATTTCTGCTCCAAGGAGATGTACAAGTCTAAGCCTTTAGATATTTACTACTATCAAGTTTGTAGCAAGAGACCATTTTTATCTATCAGATTGGCAAAAATGGACAAGGTTGAATATGGTTGGTACGGGTATGGGGGACAGGGCTTTGTAATAAGTTAGAACTTGGGAGGGAAATTTCCTAACGTCCCTACAAGTAATGTGCATCCACTGTTCAATCCAGTAGACCTTTAGGCGCGTGCGCATGACACGCACACTCCAACACGAACGCAGTGGTGACTGTGCAAGGATTTGCCCCATGTTTGTAGCAGTAAACACGGAGGCAGCCTAAATGTCCATCGTCAGGACTGCGGGTCCATAAGTTAGGATGCATCCCCTGCAGTCATTAAAAAGAAACTCAAGATACAGCATGGTGTGAATGCCGTGTGTGATTCACTCCCAGGATGTAGAAGAGGGAGGGCCCTGTGCTTGTAGACGGACAGCATAAGGGCATGATGTCTGGGAGGATGAGCATGCAGCTGGTGCCTTGGGGGTGGGCAGCTACACTGGGGACCCAGGAAGGAGGGAGACTTCACTGAAATGGTGACTGTGGGTAAACATTACTTGTTGACCACTTCTGTGAGCTGCCTTCTGAGTTTTTTCCCCACTTTTCTTTGGCGTCAGGGGAGGCACTTGGATTTTGTCTGTTGGCTTTCCAGAGTTTAAAGATGTTGCAAATACTTCTCAAATACTGATATTTCTTTAAATTGTAAAAGTAACACACCCTCGTGTTAAAAAAAACAAACATAAAGAAGTATTGGGTTGTCGGAAAAGTCATGACGCATTTTTGCAATGAAAAACAGAAACATATGTCATGACTTTTCCAACAACCCAAGATATACATTGAAAAATAAACCACCTTTCTCCTCCCCATACCCCCAACAATCCAGCCTTATTCTCCAAAGGGTGCTGACTACTAACTTTTTAAAAATCCGGCCAGAGATTTTCTATTCATGGTATTTTTTTTTAGCCCAAAAGGGAGTATGCTGTGCACATAATTCTGAGACTTGCCATCTTTCCCTCTAGTGATCTCTTTAGGATGCCCCGAGGTCACCGAGCATACTTCTAGATTGTCTAGGAGGTCCAAAAAAGGATCCACCTCCTTTTTAATGGCTGCACATTTAAGTTGTTTCCTGTTTTTATTTATTACCACAAACATTGCTTCAAGAACATCATGTGATTTCAGTCTCATGGGATATAAAATAAAAAGCAACGAACTCATAGATAAAACAGAATGGTTGGCGGTTACCAGAGGGAAGGGGTGTGGGGTAGGATAAAGAGGGTCAAATATATAGTGACATAGAGCACATGAGTACACAAGAGTGTCAGACGTCATATTACAAAGTTGTACACCTGAAATTTATGATATTAACCAGTGTTACCCTAATTAATTTTTTAAAAACCATTGAACATACTTCTGTGCATTCTCATACAAGTATATCTGATGAATAACTTCCTACAAGTGGAATTTTGTCTTTAAAATGATCATACATGCTGCTGAATTGTCATTCAAGAGACTGTCCTGGCCACTGTGAATAAATCTGTTTCCCATGTCTTTGCCAGCACTGGGCACTACAGACTTTCCATTTTGGCCAAGCTTTAGGTGCAAAGTGGTTCCCAATTGAATCTGCACTTCTTTAATTATGATGAAAGTTGTGCATCTGTTCAAATGCTTATTGGCCATTTGTGTGTTCTCTGTGACCTGTTGGCTCTCTTTATAAAAATGATTGTTCACCTCTACTGGTTGATTGTTTTAAATCTTTTAATTGTGGGAAATTTCAAACATAGAGAGGGACTGTACAGGAGTCCATGAGCCCATCTATGTTGACCAGTCTGGTTTCCTTCACAGCCCACCCACTCCCTATTTCCACTATATTCACTTATGTTGAAACAAATCCCAGACATCATTTCATTCATAAATGTTTCCATATATATCTCTAAAACATAGGGACTCAACAAAAATAATACCATTATCACACCTAAAAAATAAATGATTATTCCAAATATATATTTTTATATATTATATATTCCATATATATTATTTCAGCTACTTAGTGTTGTTTGTCCGGACTACAGGACTAAAGTTGTGCAGAGATGCTGCAAGCCAGGCTGCAGGGCGGCTTGACCAGAGGCCCCAGGATTCTGCTCCCTCACTGTCAGAACACTTGGCCTGGAGTTCACAGGAGCCTGAGCTGTGAGCTCAGAGCCAGGGCTGAGTCAGCCGCCTCCAAAGGCACATGCTGTCTTCTGGAGCTTACTCTGGGAGATGCCCAGGCTCAGCTCTGGAAGAGGGGGGGCTAGGTTGGTATGAACATATTAAGGATGTCATGTTTTAAAAATAGGGGAGAGTGCTTTCTCCTTCCCTGCAGCAGAACTGTAGGGCAGTTCCTGAGGGTAGAAAGCTGGCCTCCGCCAAGAGCTGGGGGGGTGGGGGTTGGCAGTGCAACAGAGAAAGAGTAGGGTGGCTTTCTTTGTGGGTTGTGTTACCCCAGCTCTGAGCTGCTGACCGTTTTCCCAGAATAGGACCAGGAAGGATCTTCCATTCGCAACACAAACCGAGAACCCCTGAGAGTCAGAGGAGACTAACAAAAGCCCTCCCAAAGGCAGTTAGCTACAATCACAGAAGCTGCCACTTTGTAACTACGGTGACATTTTTCCTCTTTGGCAAATGCCAGATTTGTGGATAGACCAAGAGGTCAGCAGCCCAGACCCAACTGCAGGCTCTTAAGAAAGGGAGCAGTGGGAGAATATTTTTCAGTTTTTTTCTGGCCTAGCAAAGGAAGGCAGGGAAGCACTGTTAAGTGGAGATGTCAGTAGTCTGAGAGTATCTCCCCACAACTTCTCAGATGAAGGTGGTATCTGCTAGGTTTCCTCACTGTAAAGTTAGGATTTTCTCCTTGGCAACATGAAGGCAGTCTGGGTTCCTCACAGCACTGTGAAAGCGTCCTTGAGTATATTCCAGCACCCAGTCCACTTGGTTCTGTTGAGTGGCCAGTTCAGCAAGCACTCAGGTGGCAGACTGGCGTGTGGCATGTAGGCATCGGGGCGCTCTGCATCTGCAGGGCCATGCCAGCTGCTCCCACTGCACAGGACTGCCGCCAGTAGGGTAAACGAGGGCCACCAGAGGCAGTGCGTCCCATTGCAAGAATTTAGCTTGTAGTCCCCTGGGAGAAGGGAGAGGTGCGCAGGCCCAGGCTGGTGGAGGAGGTTTTAAGGATCTTTCCATCCCCCACACCCAGCCTGAGTGGAAGGCAAGCCAGGAGAGTTTGAATATTTGGAGACATGGAAGGATGGTCAGGAGGGCAGGCAGGTTAAACAATGAGGGGGGGCATGGAGTAAGGGTGGACATGCGGCCAGAAAGACACTCAAACCAGCTAGAAGCATGATAGGTGGGCCACAGCCTCGGCCATTTGTGTTACAGGCCATAAGATCCCAGATAGTCAGAAAGATCTCCAGGAAGACAGAGACAGACTTCTAGATAGAGTCCTGGAGAGATAAACAGACTCCAGAAGACAGACAGCCAGACAAATGGGCAGATTCTTGGACAGATGGTAAGATGCCTAGCCAGCCATCTAGAAAGACCTGTGGCCAGACACATGGATGTCCCCCCCACCCCATGTCCAGCCAACCAAAAGACAGAATCTCTCAAGAACAGACCACCCCCCCAACTGGACAAAGAGATGTTGCCCCAGTGGGGAGAGACCTCACCTACCCAGTCAACTAGCCATCCAGACCTTTAGCTTGACAGACTTAACCTCTGCCAGTAAGAAAGACCTTAGCCTATGAGAAAGCCAGGCCCTTGGCAGGATATACAGAAAGATCCCCTCAACCCAGCTGGATAGACTCTCAAGCCAATGGACAGATACATGCCACCCAGTTGGACAAACAGAGCCTACTCCCCTAGGTGGACAGAATATTCCCAGCTAGCCACAAACCCCAGTTGCTGGGTCAGCCTCCCTTCCTCCTAGTCACCACCATGGATGATAGGGATGACCCAGTGACTCCTCAGTGTCACCTCTACCCCCAGGTACACCAGTTTGCAGTGACTATTGACTTTCAATGACATCTACTACCACCAGGGTCCACAAAGACCTTTCATGGTTCCTCAGTGATGTCCCCATTTACTCATATTCACTAGTCCCAAATGACTGCCATTAGTATCCATGAGGACCAAGGGACGCAGAAGTCTCTGTGACTCCTCCAGTGACCTCTGTTTTCTCAGAGTTTACAGATACATCTGTATCTCGCTTCCCAACAAGCCATGACTATCCACGAAATCTCCGTGATTCCACTGACATTCGCTATCGTGCCCTGAGTAGGAGGGCTCCACGGAATAGGAGCCCTCAGTGACCTTCCCTGACTCGCTTGCCCCTCAATTACTTAAAATTAAGACTCCAAATCCCAGGGGCCCCTCATTTACTTTCACTGTTTCTCTGACCTCCACAGGACTGCCATTAACATCCACTGACAGTCCCCAGGAACATCCAAGGAACTCCTACTGGTCTCCAATGAATTCACTATCAATGTCCATCCTTAGTGATCACTACTGACCATCTTTGAACCCTCAAAGATGAAACTGATAAACAGAGTCTATAATGACCCCCACTAGCTCCTCAGTAAATGAAACATCTCCACTGACCCACTTTGACCTCTCAGTCACTTAAACCAGGGTCAGCAAACCATAGCCTGCAGGCCTTGAACAAATTTTTGTAACACATGAAAATTACATGAAATTAAGATTTTAGTGTCCACAAAGATTTATTGACACACAACCGCACTCATCCCTTTACATATTGCCTATGGCTGCTTTCACACTGCCATGGCAGGGTTGGGTAGCTGGCACAGATCACAGAACAAAGTCTTTTAAGAAAGAGTTTGCCCATCCCTACCTTAAACATCATTCTGGTAACTCCCTAATGAATTAAATCCACAACGTGAACCAATGACCCTTTGACCCCTCAATGACAAGGTACACCTCACACACTGGTCACCCTTGGACACCTTAACGACCTCAAACTGGACTTCACAGACACCCTCTCCATTGACACCTCCCCTCCCGAAATTCCTTCCGCGACCACGGTGAGGGGTTGGGCTAGCCTTCCTGTCCAGGCCAATCCTTGGCGGCGCCCCTAGGCTCCTCTCTGCTCTTTCCAGTTTCCCTTTGTTGACTCGGGAAGCTGAGGCAGCAGCTGTCCTCTGTTTTTTTTTCCTGCACATTTTCTGAAGCCCAGGGTGTGGGGAATGAAAAAAAAAGAGAAGCTCTTTAAAAGTGTTGAGAACACCTTGTCCCCTGGAACCCATTTCCAGAGCCTCAGTTCTGGGTTTCTCGGCATGTATAATATATGCAGATTGAGATCCTCAAACTAGGACTGGGTCCTGGCGCCCCCAGCTCCTCCTAGCCCAACTCAGAAAAAGGACCCTCAGGAAATACTCGGATTCAGGAGCATCTGCTTCCACTCGGGTCTTTCTCAGCACGGGTGCCCGTGGGCCATTTTCCCCCGCGGTTACCTTTCCGACTTCCCTTGGACCACACCGGAACGCACCAAGTGAGATGTCCCCCACCCCGGGGTCCCCGAAGCAGAAGCTGCAGCTCCCATCTCGGCGCCGTCTCCACTCACAGCTACCACGTGCCGCCACTCCCCTCCATCCCACGCCCCGGCTCGCGCCCCGATGCAGCCTGGTTCCCAAGAGATGGGCCGGGGAGCAGAGCAAGGGCGCGCGGGCATCCACCCACCTCGGGCACTAGGAGGAAGATGGGCCCCGGGCGCGGATCCCAGGTCCAAGCGGGGGGAAGTGTCCGTGGGACTCTGAGGGCTTAGTCGGCCGGCGCGGCGGCCACAAGAAAAGGAAGCGCCAGCGCTGGACTCATTTCCCCAGCCCAGCCCGCGAGGACCGAATCTGAAAGCTGCCGCCCGGGTCTGGAAGCCTGTGAAGGAGGCTGGGAAGGCTCTGAGAGTCATTGGCCAAGGGGCGCCGGCCGCTGCGCACTCCCATTGGCTGGCGAGATCGGAGGCGGGGCCTCGACCTCCAGCGGCACTCGCTGAGGCTGCGAGCTCCCGGCGCAGCTGCCAGACTAGACCCAGCTGGCCTGCGGCGTCATGAGTAGCAGCTTGGACCGAGCGCGGAGCTTCCTGGAGCACCTGGAGGAGCGGGGCGGCCGGGAGGGGGCGGTCCTCGCCGGCGAGTTCAGTGTGAGTGGGCGAGTATGGACGACTGCGCGGCGCTTTGCTGCTCCTCGCCCTGGACCGTCGGGTGCGCCCTGCCGCGCTCTGCCTCTCTCTCTCCTCTCTCTCTTCTCTCTTCTCTTCTCTCTCGGCATCTACAGTGTCTCCTCGCCTCGAGGTCTCTCTGTTTTTCTGTCCTCAGTACTTCTCTGTGTGTCGCTCTCCAGTCCTGTCTGTCTTCACGCTCTGACCTCAGGGCCCTAGAGGGCGAAGTCCACGGCCGGGCTGGGAGGGGCCGCACTCACCCTCGGGTCCCTGCGCCCGGGTCGCGCTCCCGGAACTTTTGGGCTGCTGGGCGGAGTGTGGGCGGGGCTGACGCGCACCTGCTCCTGGCGACCCGGGGTGGTCACTCACTCTTGTGGTCAGTGGAGGAAGCGGCTGGGGAAAGAGGAACCTGGAGGCCCTGCTGTGGAGAGGGTGTGGACGCCAGGCTCGGATTGGCTCTGTGGTCCCACGGCGCTTAACCCATCCCTTCTGGCCTCGGTTTCTCCTTGGGCGAAATGCGGACGCTGAAGACTAAACTGGCCTGAGGATTAAATAACTGGTGTGGGTAAAAAGCGCTTAGCACATCTTGCGCGCTCACTTTGTAGGAGCCTTTGTCACTAGTTATAAATATTCTAAACATTACAGGGAGTAGTGCAAGCCCTGTGTAAGGAATGCTAATATAGCCTCGTAGGCACCGTTTACTACACGTAATGAGATGTTTTAAATATAATAACATGTAACAAACATACGTAAACATGTAAACACAACATGATGACATATATCAAATTTAGAAATATGTGATATACAATAAATATATTAAAAGTTTGATAAATATATGTAAATACTTTATACAATAAACGACTTTATATAATACTTGAGTACAATAAAAATAGATAATAAACAAGTTTAAATAATTTTATTAATAAATATAAATATATAGTCATTATGTAACAATAAATATAAATTATAATTTACACAAACATAACTTCATAAAACAATAGAATAAACAAATGCAACATAGGGAATTATAATTTATAAAATAAGCAATTATTCAATAAGTTCCTAAGTAAATATAAAATATATAACAAATAGATAAAAGTATAAAATAAATCTAAATAATTTACACAAATAAAACAGATACTTTATATGAGAAATGTACAATAAATACAAAAGATATAATTTATTCAATTTGAAAATGTGCATATTAGATGTAAACATATAACACCCAGGTGGTATATGACATCATGCCCATCCCGGTCTCAGTCCAGTCTGGGGCAGTTAGCAATGCTAAGGACCCACTCACTCTAAGGTGGGTGGGGGATGAGCATGGCCAGCCTCCTGCACTCACAGGAATCTTTGGGCCCCTGTAGGTCTTGGTTTCCTTATCTGTATAATAGAATTATCAACAGTAGTACCCACTACACTAGGATATCCATGAGGGCTTACATGACCTAATGGGCATACTAAGTAAAGCACAGAATGGTGGCTGGCACCCAGTGATGGCTTAGCAGGTGTTATTCTCATCATGTCTATGAATACCTGATGATGATGGTAATATGCTATTTACTAATTATAATAATCTAACAGTAAAAATGTTCCTATGGTATCTTGTTACATGAGTAATGTTATACATTGTATTTCACATACATTGCATATTATATATCATATCATTTTTGTTATATTAAATACATAATATATCACAATCATTGTTTACAGTGTAACAAGGATTAAGTCTATAGGGGGTGAATACTGAGAGGTTTGAGTTCAACACACTGTACCACTTTCCAGGGTGGGACTTTGTGTAAGTCGCTCAACTATGTGGTGCCTCAGCTTTCTCACCTGCACAAAGCAACGTCAATAATAGTACCCACTTGGGAGGGACCTTGTGATCTAATGCTCCTAGCACAGAGCCTGGCACAGGGAAGGCCCTCTGAGTCGCTGTTATTATTATTATTATTATTATTATTATTATTATTATTATTATTATATCATTATAATTAGCCGGGCCCTGTGCTATCCGGAGCCTGCACTCACCTCTCACTGGCCACGGTCTTGTGTCTCTATGAGAACTCTGACCTGGCTCCTCTCCTCTCCTCCTTTCCTGCACTCCCTCCCTCCAGGACATCCAGGCCCGCTCAGCTGCCTGGAAGGCTGGTGGCATGTGCTCCACGGAGGCGGGCAGTCAGCCAGGGAACGTGAGGAAGAACCGCTACAAAGACGTGCTGCCTTGTAAGTCAAGGCCTGGGGTGGGTGTGTGTGTGGGGGGGAAGCCACTTTGCACCCCCACCACACCCTGCAGACCTTGTCACCACCGGACCCCAGGCGCTCCCTCCTGAAGCCTGACTGGGTCACAGCCCAGGGGAGTACCTTCGTGGGGTCCCTGCTGAGTGTGCGCGGTGACGGTTGGGGGCGGGGAGACGCGCCTTCTTCCCCACTAGCTTTCATCCGGAAGGCTGGCAGGGCCTTGATACCCCTGTCAACCCCAAATTCCACGTTTCTCACCTCTCCTGATGGCAGATGATCAGACACGAGTGATCCTCTCTCTGCTCCAGGAGGAGGGACAAGGCGATTACATCAATGGCAACTTCATCCGGGTCTGGCTGGGAGTCAGGGAAGGGGAGGATGTGGTGGGGTGTCAATGGGATATCGGTAGTGAATTTAGCTTTTACCAGGGCACAGATGGAAGCCTGGCCTACATCGCCACACAGGGACCCCTGCCTCATACCTTGCTAGACTTCTGGCGCCTTGTCTGGGAGTTTGGGGTCAAGGTCAGCTTTGTGGGAGGGTGAAGTGGGGCCCTCCCTTGGCCCTGTTTCTCCTACCCCCTAACCCAAATCACCTCCCTCTCCTGTTACCCCTCTTGTCTAGGTGATCCTGATGGCATGTCGAGAGATGGAGAATGGGAGGGTAGGTGTCCCCAGCCCCTTGTGCAGGGAGGAGGTAGGAAAAGTCTTGCTAGCTCCTCTCCGATCCCAGGACTCCAGGGCCCAGTTCTCAGAGTGATCACAGTGGCTCTGTTGGAAGCCCATTATTCTTCTCTTAATTTTTTTGTTGATCTTTTCACTTTTATTCAGTGTTGGCAAACCCTCACTTGTTGGTCTTCCCACCACATTCCACACCCCAGACCATAAGGCCCTATATTGTGGCTTCCCTGTGACAGCTCTCACCTCTCCATCTATCCCCTTCATTCACTCCAGTCTAACCACTCTGGCCCTGCTGTTCCTCAGGTGTGCCCAGGACTGCTCTGCCTCAGGGCCTGTGCCCTGGATGTTTCCCTCTGAAAGAGGGGTGAAGGAATCTCCAACTCAGATTTTAGATTTGTCTATTTTCATTTCTCTAAGTTTTTGCTTCAGGAATTTTAAAACTCTATTATTAAACTATAATACACAGATAGGGTTATGTCTTTCTGATAAGTCAATCCCTTTTCCAATATGTAATGTCCTTTATTGCTAGTACTATTCCTTTTTCTAAAATGTACTTTGGTTTTAATATAGCTATTTAAATTTCTTTAGAGTGTGCATAATATATCTTTTCCCATTCTTTTACTTTTTAATCCATGTTCATCTTTATTTTTAAAGTGTATTTCTTGTAGATGGCATGTTGTAGGGACTTACTTTTGTACCCACTCTGACAATCTCTGCTTTAATTGGAGTATTCAGTCTTTAATGTAACTCTCATTAATATTGGGTCTAAATCTACCTACCACCTTGCTATTTGTTTTCTATTTGTTCCATGGGTTCTTTGTTCCTTTCTTCTTATTTTCTGTCTTCTTTCAGATTGAGAATTTTTATGAATCCATTTCATAGTTATTATACACTTATTAGTTACACCTTCTTGTATTATATGCTTAGTGGTGGTGGCTTTAGGGTTTACAATATATATCTTTAACTTACCACAGTTAACATTCAAATAATATTATACCATTTCATGTAAAATGTGAGAACTTTACAATAGCATATTCCAATTTTCCCTTTCTATGCTTTATGCTGTTGCCATAGGTTTTAATTCTAAATATGTAATATACTCTACAATACACTATTATTTTTACTATAGACTATCTTTTTTAAAAGAGGTTTATTGAGATACAGTTCATCTATTTAAAGTGCAATTCAGTTGTTTTTAGTCTATTCCTGAGTTATGCAACCATCACCACAATAACTGTTAGAACACTGTCATCACCCCATTAGAAAACCCTGTATCCATTAGTAGTCACTCCTCATTTCCCACCAACCTCCACCCTAGGCAACCCCTACTCTAGTTTTGATCTTTCTAGATTTGCCTACTCTGGACTTTTCATATAAATAGAATCATATGCTATGTTCTCCTTTGTGACTGGCTTCTTTGACTCAGCATATGTTTTCAGAGTTCCTGTACATTGTAGCATGTGTCTACTTCACTTCTTGTATTGCCGAATGATACATTCCATTGAATGGATCTAGCACCTTTTGTTTATCCATTCATCACGTTATGGAATTTGAGCTGTTTCTAGTTTTTGGCTATTATGAATAATGCTGCTATTTGTGTGCAAGTTTTTGTGTAGAAGTATGTTTTCATTTCTCTTGGGTATATACCTAGAAGTGGAATTGCTGGGTCATTTGCTGACTCTATTTTTAACATTTTGAGGAACTGTCAAACAATTCTCCACAGTGGCTACATCATTTTACATTTCAACCAGCAATATCTAAGGGTTCCAACTGCTTCACATCCTCACCAACCCTTTTTATTGTCTTTTATTATAGCCACCCTATTGGGTGTAAAGTGATATTTGTCTTTTTTTTTAATTGTGGTAAAATATGCATAACATAAAATTTGCCATTTTAACCATTTCAAGTGTACAAGTCAGAGACATTAAGTACATTCAGAATGTATAATCATTCACCACTATCAATTTCCAGATCTTTTTCATCATCCCAAACAGAAACTCTGTACTCATTTAACAATTACTCCCTTTCCCCCCTTCTTCCAGCTTCTGGTACTTTTATTCGACTTTCTGTCTCTATGAATTTGTCTGTTCTAGGTCCCTCATAGAAGTGGAGTCAGACAATACTTGTCCTTTTGTATCTGGCTTAGTGCACTTATAATATTTTCAAGGTTCACCCATACTGAAGCATGTATCAGAATTTCATTCTTTTAAAGGCTGAATAATATAGTACACTGTATATATTATATATACTACATGTTGTTTATCCATTAAGCTGTTGGTGGACATTTGGGTGGTTTCTACCTTTTAGCTATTGTGAATAATGCTGCTATGAACATTGGAGTATAAGTATCTGTTTTGAGTCCCTGATTTCAATTCATTTGGGTATATACCTAGAAGTGAATTGCTGGATCATATGGCAATTCTGTTTAACTTTTTTGCGTTTTGTTTGTTTGTTTGTTTTCCACAGTGACTGCACCATTTCACATGTTAGTTTCTGGTTCTGTTTTGTCCTAATGGGTGGGAAGAGGTATCTCACTGTAGTCTTTCATATGCTTATTTCCCATTTGTATATCTTTTTTGGACAAATATCTGTTCAGACCTTTTGCCTATTTTTTAATTCGGTTATTTGTCTTTTTATTCTTGAGTTGAAAGAGTTCTTCTGGATACAAGTCCCTTATCAATATATGATTTATAAGTATTTTTCCCATTCTGGGGGTTGCCTTTCCATTTTCTTGATAGTATCATTTGAAGCACGAACTCTAATTCTGAGGAATTCTAGCCTGTCTATTGTTTTGCTTGTGCTTTTGGTGTTGTAGCTGAGAAATCAATGTCTAACTAAAGGTCATAAAGATTTACTCCTATGTTTTCTCCTAAGTGTTTTATAATTTTATGTCTTATATTTAGGTCTGTGATTCATTTTGAGTTAATATTTGTGTATTGTATGAGGTAGGGGTTCAAAGTCATTCTTTTGCACGTAGATATCCAGTTGTCTCAGCATCATTTGTTGAAAAGATTATGCTTTCCCCATTGAATGGTCTTTGTATCCTTGTTGAAAACCAATTGACAATAAATAAATGTAAGGATTTATTTCTGGACTCTCAATTCTATCCCATTGATTGATATGTCTGTGTTTGTGCCAGTACCATGTGGTTTTGATTTTTGTAGCTTTGTAGTAGGTTTTGAAATCAGGAAGTCCTCCAAATTTGTTCTTCTTTTTTCAAGATTGCTTTGCTATCTATTCTCAGTCACTTATTGTACAGAAAAGAGCTAACCAAGCAGGCAGAAGGGCTTATGCTTAAAAATCCTCCCTGCAAGTTTGGCTCATAGCTGGAAATTGGATTTCTAATAAAAGTGGCTCACTTTTTATACAAACAATATGATTTATGTGAACACTTGCTTTCCTTCTAGGAATCCAAAGTTTTGGTACTTTTTTTTTTTTTTTTGCTTTGGTACAAGTTTTGCTAGTCAGAGGGTGCCTACATCCCTCCCACATAAAGTGCCCCAATAATAACCCTGGGCTGAGTCCCTAATGAGCTTTCTGTGGACATTTCACACATGTTGTCACAACTCATTGCTGGGGGAATTAAGCACATGTGGCCCACTGGAAGAGGATCCTTGGAAAGCTAGTACTTTGTTTCCCTCAGACCTCACCCCATATGTCTTTTAGCTTTGCTGATTTTATTGTATCCTTTCATTGTAATAAATCATGGCCATGAGTATCGCTCTATGCTCAATCCTATGAGTCCTCCTAGTGAGTCATCAGACCTGAGGTGGTCTCAGGTATCTACGACACACCTATTAATGTTAATAACAACTTGCCAATATCTTCAAAATGCCTTTTGGGAGTTTGATAAAGATTGCTTGAATCAGTCTATCAGTTTGCCATCTTAACGTTGTCATCTTAATATTGTCTTCCAATCCATGAACATGGATATCTTTCCATTTATCTAGGTCCTCTTTAATTTTTTTCAGCAATGATTTGTAGTGTCTAGAAGATTTGCACTTTTGTTAAATTCCTAAGTAGTTTATATTTTTTTATGTTATTGTAAATAAAGTGCTTTTCTTAATTTCATTTTTCAGTTTGCTTATTGCAAACCAAATGGTTTTCTCTATATAGAAATATAATCGATTTTTCCATATTGACTTTGTATCCTGCAAGCTTGCTTAACTCACTTATTAGCTCTAATTGTGTGTGTGTGTGTGTGTGTGTGTGTGTGTGTGTGTGTGTGTGTGTGTGTGTGTATTCTTTGGGGTTTTCTATATATATAACATTATGTTGTCTGCAAATTGAGATAGTTTTGCTTCTTCCTTTTCAGCCTGGGTTTCCTCCATTCCTCCCTCCCTTTCTCCCTTTCCTCCCTTTCTTTTTCTTTCTTTCTTTCTCTTTCTCTCTTCCTCCCTCCTTTCCTTCCTTCCTTCATGTCTTTTATCCTAATTGCACTGGCTAGAACTTCCAGTACAAAGTCAACAGAAGTGGAAAGTGCAAACACCCTTGTCTTGTTCCTGATCTTAAGGGAAAAACATTCAGTCTCTCACCACTAAGTATTAGGTTCGCTGTAGGTTTTTGTTTTGTTTTTCTTTTTAGACTTTTTTTTTAATTATAAGGAATTTCCTTTCTATTTCTAGTTTCTTTCATGTTTTTATTATGAAATGGTGTTGAATTTTGTCCCCAAATTTTTTGCATCTATTCAGATGATCATGTGTCTTTGTTTTATTTATTTTTTATTAATATGGTGTATGACATTGATTGATTTTCATATATTGAATGAACTTTGCATTCCTGGGGTTAATCCCAGTTGGTCATATTGTATAATCCTTTGCTAGTATTTTGTTAATGATTTTTGTGTCTATATCCAGGAGATATTGATTAGTAGTTTTCTTGTGATGACTATGTCTGGTTTTGGTATCAGAGCAATACTGGCCTCATATAATATGTTGGGAAATGCTTAATATGTTGGGAAATGTTACCTCTTCTTCACTTTTTTTGGAAAAGCTTGTGAAAGATTGCTATTAATTTTTCCTTATTTGGTAAAATTCACTAGATGAATTTTAAAGATGTTAAAAAAATCTCCTAAAGATGTTAAAAATCAGAACTATATTTTACATTTCACCACATTTTTACCTTTTCTTTACTCTTCATACTTTTGTGTAGATCCATATTCCATCAAGTATCATGTTCCTTTTGTGTGAAGAGCTTACTTTAATAGTTTTCATAATGCAGGTTTTCTTGTAATAAGTTCTCTCAGCTTTTGTTTGTCTGAAAGGTTTTTTTTGTTGTTGTTTTGTTTTTTAAATTTCAGCACTTTTAGGATGTCACACCATTGACCTCTGGCTTGAAGAGCGTCTGACAAAATTCTGCTGTCATTCTTATGCTGTTCATACTCAGTGTGTAATGTGTCTTGTTTTGTGTGATGTTTTTAAGATTTTCTCTTTATCATTGTTTTTTCAGCAATTGATCATGATCTGCATTGGTGTGGTTTTCTTTATGTTTATATGATTCATTGACCTTGAATCTGTGGGTTCATAGTTTCATCAAATTTGAAATTTTTTCCCAGCTATTATTTCTTCAAATATAGTTTCTGTTTTCCCCTCTCTCCTCTCCTTCCAGACACATGCATTAGACCACTTGATATATTTCCACAGGTAACTGATTCTCTGTTTATTTTTCTCTCAGTCATTTTTTCCTCTCTGTTTCACTTTGAGTAGTTTCTATCACTGTGTCTTCATGTTCACTGATCTTTTCTTCTGGTGACTAATCTGCTATTAGTGAAATTTTCATTTCGTATACCCAGGATGCCAAAAAAAATGTATACAAATGGGCACTTGGGTCAACATTGCTCAAGCAATAGTTCACCGTAATTAGAAGTACCTGGATGCTCATGGTAACCATTTTGAGCACCTCTTGTAATTGCAGAAGTCAAATGTGACTTGTATTCGTATTTCGTTACTGGTATATATTGAGTATTACAATTTTAATACAGTTTTCCTTTCTCAAAATGTGTATACATTTTTTTTGGCACTGTATTTTATTTTGCCTCTCTATAAATTCTGTTAGGTCTTTAAAAAAGTCTTTGATTTCACTTTTTATCACATTCATGTTCTATTTTTCATCTGAGTATATTTATATTTATAAAAGCTATTTTTAAGGTCTTTGCGTCTTTCCTCATATCTATTGAGACCTATTGAGTCTTTTTTCTACTGATTTTTCTCCTGGTTATGTGTCATATTTTCTTGCTTCTTTGTATGTCTAGTAAATTTTTATTGGATGCTTGAATTTTTAATTTTACAAAGGTGTTAGATTTTGTTGTCTTCCTTTAAAGAGTGTTGGACCTTTTTCTGGAAGACAGCTAAGTTACTTTCGGATGTTTGATCATTTTGAGGTTTGTTTTTAAAAGCAGGTCTAGAGTAACCTTTATTCTAGAATTAATTTTGTTCTAACATGTGGTCCTTCTGGGTCCCCTACTAAATGCCCCTTATAATCAATCAGGTCTCCACTCTGGCTGGAGGGAATGTAAATTATTCTTGTCCCATTGTGAACTATAGGAAATGTTCATCTTACAGGTCTCTAGTTATTATTCTTTGATGGAGAGTTATTCTTGCCTTGCCTCATAGGGTTTCACATTATATATATGTGCTCAGATTATTATTCAGCTAAAGACTCAAAGCGAATTCTATGTAGACTTCTGGAGTTTTTTTCTTTTGTTTGCATCATTTTGTTCTTTCCTGGACTCTGCCCTAAAATTCTAGCTGCCTTGGCCTTCCTGAGCCATGATCTCTGGCTTCTCAGCTCAGTGGGATCATTGGACTCTGTGTCCAGCAGCCTGGTGACTGCCTCTCAGCAGTAAGCTGGAGCGGTCACAGGGTTTGACGCATGTCTTTCCCTTTGTTCAGTGATCACAGTCCTATAATGCCTGTCGTCCAATGTCTGAAAATATATTTATCTAAGATTTTCTTGTTGCTTACAGTAGGAGAATATTCTGGACCATCTTCCTCCTGCATTGTCAGAAGCTCGACACTCAGTCTGTGTGTTTAAACTGATGAGGCTCTGGCCTCCATTAGAGCTGCAGCTGCCTGTGCTACCACCAGCAATGCCTGGGGTCCTGTGGAATGCATATGTATTGAGTGTGAACTGTGAAGCAAACTCCCCCTCTTCACTCCCTGCCCTTTCTCCCTTGCCTTTTACAGAAAAAGTGTGAGCGTTACTGGGCCCAAGAACAGGAGCCACTGCAGATTGGGCTTTTCTGCATCACCCTGGTGAGCTGGGGCACAGGTGGAAACAGCGTTTAATGGAGTCTTAGATGTTGTGGGAACTTTCATGGAAGATTCTCAGGGTGTGAAAGCTTTTGGGCTGGGCACAAAAGGAGAACAAAAGGGCACAAAACATTTCCCACAGTCCTCTCACACTGCAAGGAACTCTCTGGTATTAATATGCAAACAGTCATAACTCAATATATGCATTGCTTTTGCATTTTAACCATGATCATGGTTATGTCTATAAATATAAATGCACCTGGTTAGGTTCTTAAATCTTTATGTCCATTCCCATTTCAAAACAACTCAGGAAAATCTCTCACCTGATGTGATGCACACAGTTGGTAGTAAAACTTGTTTTACACACAAAGAAATCTTTTTTTTTCCCCACTGTAAATAAGCTTATTTAGGTTTTTAATTATGGTTCCTCTTTCTACCCTCTGTCAAATATTTGCTTCACAAAAGCCATGGGGGATGTTTGGGCTAACTTAATTTTTAAAAATATGTTGTTCATACTTGATTTTAAATCAGAAATGCATTGCTTTCTATAAACATATCTTTGTGCACTTGCGATCTTTGTTCTCCTCCCTCTTCTCTCCTGCCCCCATCCGCAGGCCAGGGAGACATGGCTGAATGAAGACATCATACTCCGGTCCCTTCAGGTCACCTTCCAGAAGGTACTAAAAGGGGAGGAAGAGGTTCCCACACAGGGAGAGCTGTTTCCTGTCTGTTTTCTCATCTGTAAAATGGGCATTAACAGTAGTATCCATCTCCTCAGTTATTATCTGTTGGATTTAAAAGGAAGGTGTTCAGAATTGGGCCTGACATGTGGTAGGTGCCCAATAAATGCTTTTCTTTCTTTTTTTAAATATTCTTTGCCACACTTTTCTTGTGTTTTAGAAATATCGTTCTGTGTACCAGCTGCAGTATATATCCTGGCCGGACAGAGGAGTCCCCAGCAATCCGGACCATGTGCTCGCCATGGTGGAGGAAGCCCGTCACCTCCAGGGCTCTGGCTCCAGCCCCCTTTGTGTTCACTGCAGGTTAAGTAGATGGGCTTTACAGAGGTCTGGTGAGACAGAGGGGCCAGGAAGTGGGGGAGGGAGGTTTGGAGCTGGTCTTGCGGTTTGAGTGCCTGAGGCCACACTTGCTCTTGCTGCATCACCTGAAATTGTTAGCATTTATTGAAGGCAACCTGCCTGATGGGTAGCAAGCACACAGTTGATGCTAAACAAATGTAAGCAATTAAAAAGTTTTTTCTTTTAAATTATAACCTGGGGAATCTGGGAATTCAAAGGTGCTGCAGGAAACCCCCCATTAGGGCCCCCACCCCCAAATGCCCACTTGAAAAGGGCTGTGGGCGGGCCCCCACCAAACTCTCTCTTCTTGCATTTCAGCGCGGGCTGTGGGCGAACAGGCGTCTTGTGTGCGGTGGATTATGTGAGACAGTTGCTCCTAACCCAGGTATGAAGAGGCCACGCATGCGTGCCTGTGCAGCGTGATCCCCTGCCCAGGAGAGCCTGCTCATGAGCGCTGTCTCTCTGCCCCAGATGCTCCCACCTTATTTCAGCCTCTTCGATCTGGTCCTCGAGATGCGGAAGCAGCGGCCTACAGCTGTGCAGACAGAGGTGTGAGCCTCAGATTCCCCCTTCCAAGGACATGTCCCACCTCCTTTGTCTTCCCTTCTTGACGACCCCTCTTCCTCTTCCAGGAGCAATACAGGTTCCTGCACCACACGGTGGCCCAGATGTTCTTCTCAGCACTCCAAAATGCCAACCCCCAGTCCCAGCACCTCAAGGAGGTACCAAGACCCCCTTCCCACCCTTCCATACACCAGCATCTTCAGACCAGAACCCAGAGCACAGGTCTAGGACCACCCCATCACATATCCAGCCCTGGCCTCCTTTGGGGGCCACGGACTGACTCACTAGATGTCTACCTTTGACCTCCTCCTTGCTCCCTTATCAGCCTGTTCCCTCTTCAGCGTACCCCACAGTGATCTTCATCAGGGGCCTGGCCAGTTTCCCTGAAGCCTCATGCCCTTACCCTCCGGTCTTTTCCAGAATTGTGCCCCACTCTATGACAATGCCCACTCCCTCCGGACTTCCCTGGCCCTTTCTGCCATGCCCCGCCCACCTGGCGGGGTCCTCAGGTACCCAGCTCCAGCCCTTCATTCTTCCCTTTGCAATTTCTCACGCTCAGCTCTGAGGCTAACCCTTTCCTCACCCTTGAAACGCTATTCCTGTCCTTGCTGTTCACTTCAGTAAATATTCGCTGGCCCTTTGAACTGAGCTCTGGGAACCTGCCCCATTAGGACTCCTTAATCCCCAGAGATCCCATGCCTCTTTGCCTCTAAGGCTAGCCCTGCGGTCCAGTGTTAACCCTTCCCTCGCTCCCCTAGTCATTCATTAATTCAGCAAATATTTTTTGACACCGCCCACTTGACATGAGTGCTGCGGACGTTGAGTTGACCCTCCTTGGCAACAGAAATTACGCCCAATCGTCCTTGAGACTGGCTCTCCATTTTGAGGCTATCCTTTCCTCCTCTTTAGATGCCACTTCCTCATTCTTTTATCCAATAAACAATTACACAGAAATGACCTCTCCTCAAAACCAATGCCTTGCCCCATTCCTCTGCCAGGCTGGCCCCTTCCCTCCTTCACTCACTTACCTTGCTGGGAGCTGAGACAGGCAAACAAGAGCCCCTTACCCAGAGACCCCGCCCTCTCCCCCCAGACCTGCCTGCTCCCAGCCCCCAGCCTTGCGCCGCCTGGGGCGGGAAGGAAGCGGAGGGTTTGTGGGCTGAGCACTCTACCCCACCCGGCCCTCCCTCAGCTCGACGGTTTCACTTCCTCCCTGCCTCCCCAACACTGCAGGAGCATTTCAGTGCCGGGGCCCCGGGCCCTCGCCATGGCTAACACGTACGCGGTGGTGCAGAAGCGCGGGGCCCCGGCCGGCACCGGGTCGGGGTCCGGGGCACAAGGCACGGAGGGGACTCCGCTCTACAGCCAGGTTATGCCGCGTGCCCGGCGGACGCAGGCGCCCGCGGAGGACGCACGGGGGGTGCTGCCCGGCCGCGGTGAGTCGGCCTGGCGCTGGGCTGGGAAGGGCTGGCCCCCACCTGCTCCTTCTCGGGACCCCATGCTGCTGGATCTCCGTCCCCCAGGCCAGACTGGCCACCGCCCGGGGCTGCTGCCCGCTGGTTGGTCACGCCCGGAAGTGGGCCCGGGGCTGGGTGAGCTTCTCCAGAGATGCCATCTCTTCTGGGCGGGGGTCTTGGACCTGGCGGTGCCCCGGGTGTACACCCCTCCCGATGGGCCCGGTCCCGCGCTCCTAGCCAGACCTATCCGACCCGGTGGAGGTCTCTGCCCTGGGCTGGTTCTGGCACTCCACGGGCGGCGCGAACTGATGCATGGGGTGTGGTGTCCTGCCCACAGTTCCTGCGGACCCCAGCCCTGCTGCGCCTGGCGCCTATGAGGATGTGGCTGATGGATCTCAGACCGGTGGGCTAGGTAAGTAAGACAAAGCCCAAGTAGCTGGGACTCTGCGACTTGGGCTGAATCCCTGCAGTTTGGGTTTTAGGAACGGTAGCATGAGGCTCAGGCCCTCAAAGTCCTATGGATGGGGCTGCAGTGAGCCAGGAGAGCCTGGAGGCGCAGGGGTGGTCTTCCACAAGTTGCCTACCTTTCCACATCTCCGCTTCTTCATGAGACCCACCATGCCCTTCCTCTCCCAGGCTTCAACCTGCGCATCGGAAGGCCTAAAGGGCCCCGGGACCCGCCTGCCGAGTGGAGCCGGGTGTGAGTGCTGCGCCCAGGCCTGTCTGCTACTCCACGTGGTTGCCTGGATGTTGAGGCCATGCTCTGCTGTGTGAAGTGTTGGGCATGGGAAGGCTGGGCTTGGATCAAAATAAAATTTCTCAGGGTGGGAAATGTGGGGGTTTTGTCCCAGTGATTATAGCATTCAAGGCTTGAGGCTGGGGGAGGTAGTGGGAGATAACGACTGGTGAGGCTACACTGAGCAGATTCAAAAATGAGCATAAGGAATGGGCCCATCCCCAAGTGCTCCCCAGTTGTGAAGAAGAGAGTGGACAGATGGGATTCTAGAGACTGCCCCCATTACCATATAATAGACTAGTTCATCTCAGTGTCTATGTCTCCCTCACGCAGACATTCAGCTGATGACACAGGGAGATGGATGGACCCTGACAAAGACTGATGGACTCCCCCACCATTCAGACAGATCCAAGCTAGGCATGCCAACAGCCAAGTAGGCTGATTTCAGACAGACTGGTAAAAAGATCTTTAAATGGGCAGACAGACAGATGGACACCAACCTCGACAGGTAGATAGCCATACCTCTAGACAGCCAGACCTTCAAAGGGTCAGTCCACAGCTGGATGGATGGATCTCCAGCCAGAGAGAGAGATGAACCAACAGCCTGACAGACCACCCCAGCACAAGAGACCACCAAAAAGACAGACCCCCCTCTCCCAGCAAGGTAACCAGACAGACACCAGCCAGATGGATCACTAGCTGGACAGACTCCCAGACAGATATAAACAGATCCCTCCTGAACAGACAAAGGCAACCTCTAAGCTAGCCAGATCCACCCTCAGGTGGGAGGACAGACTCCTAATTAGCTAGAAGTATTCCCAGCCAGACACCAGCCACATAGACCCTTGATTGCACAGACAATGCTTGGTGGCAATGAATTAATTTGTCGAGTGCTGTAAGGTCTCTGAATGAGAAGCAGCTCAACCAGCAGAAACCAGGACTTCTAAGGAAACCTAGGGATTCTCCAGTTTAATGGGGAACAGGAGGCCAGCATCATCTGGAGTCCAAACTCTCAGGCAAGGACTGGAGCTAACCTTGATGGAAGTGGCAGGAGGGAGACTCCAGGGCTGCTGGTAAACAGGAGAGTCAAGGTGTGTTTAGAAGCCCTAAGTTATTAAGTGAATACAAATAGCTAACACTGACTTAGCACATAGATTGTTATTAATCTTCACAGCAACTCTACAGTAAAGGTGACGAGAAAAATTCTGAGATGTCCTAAATTAAATTACAGCAGTCAGGAGAGTGAGAGAAAGAGACAAGAATGATTAACTGGTTAATAGCTATGGGCCAGCTAACAAAAGACTGCTCACATTCCTGAATGTAAGTTGGAGATTTGAATAAACTTCTGTAGAGACCACCAGACCCCACAGCATCCTGCTTAAGCATGAACTTTCAGGACTATTGCCCGGTGCCAATCAAAAGTAGTAAATATTTCTTCCTTACAGACTGTGCACCTATCCTAGAACTGTCCTCCATCTTCACCCCTTCCCACCCTCTTATCTGGAGCCAATATAAATTCTTTCAAAACAACTTACACCTTTATTCACCGAAACATAATGTATAAAAGTGCCTGTCAACTCCAGGACGGCAGACAGGTTGCCTTCTCCACCTAGCCCTGCTGCTGGTGGTTTAGACTGCATGGCCCAGGAACTGCCGTTTTCTGGCTAGCATTTGACTCAATAGGCTCTTTCTTTCAGAAAAGTTTTGACTGTGAAAGTTTTTGTTTAAGGAGGTAACTTTTTATCCCCACTTCCCGTAGCCCAGTGATAACTGCAATCATTTAATGTTTCTTTAAACATTTAGGCCTGTACCATAATGGTTAATAGCTTGGACTCAGTCACTGACTAGTATGATCTTGCACAAATTTCTTTGTCTCTCCTTGGTTACATTTCCTAGTCTGTAAAATGGTGACAACAGAGTTATCTTTATCCTAGGGTTGCCACATAGGTGATTGTTCAGAGCAAGAGTGAACCTGGATTTTTACAACAGGCGTAGAAAGGAAGATTTCTTATTTTTTCAGGGATTATCCCCACAATAATATAGAATTCTATATACTTATAGTTGGAATGATAATATTGAAAGCTCTTCCTAAGACCTAAATAAATGAAAGTAAATTTGATTATGCATTCTCCTGCTTTAAACCCAGTGGCTCTAGTCTTTGATAACAGTTGCATTTTAAATCAGTGGGCAGAAAATGGTTTATTCAACATAGGTTATTAAGATAATTAAGTAGTCATTTAGGAAAAAAAGTTTGAGCCATACATCATAACTTACAGTGGAATAAATTCCATATGCACCAAAGATTTAAATGTAAAATATTAAACCATAAAAGTATTAGAATAAATTATGGGAAAATGTCTTTATAATCTTGGACTGCAGCAGTCCTTGCAAACTATGGAATGACAAATCAGAAACCCAAAAGAAATTTCAATAAATGTTAATGCATAAAAATATTCCAACCGTACAAAAATCATCCATAAGCACAGTCAGAAATGTCAATGTAAGAAATCCAAACCTGTAGAGAATCTTTATGAGTTTACTCAAGCCAAACTGACAATAATTGCCCAGAAGCAAAATCTCAATGGATAGAGAAAATGTTCCAGAGATTGGCAGTTTTGTAGCTTATTTTATACATTAAAAGTAGGAGCTGTAAGGAAGGTTACATGAAATCCATTGGTGATATATTAATAAGAGGGCAGGAAAAAGCAAAATAAGAGGAAATCTCTGGGATTGGATAAAAAATAAAATAGACACTTCTTTTACATTGATGGGTACAGGATAGTTAATAACGTTTACAGCACATAGAGGTGGTATTCGGGCAACAAGATAACAATGAGGGGTTCTGTGGTCTCCTGCCCTGATGCTGGTGGGGTGTGTCCTGAAGAGTCTGGAAAAGATTACTCTGACCTTTCAAAGGTCTGTTATCTTGGAAAAGACAACAACAGACAGGCTCACCTAAGGTAAAGATTGACTTTTGTCAAGGAAGCTACAGGCCTAGGAGATGACTACCCGCCATGACCCACTGTTAGTTAGGGATTTTTATGTTCAAACCTTCTTATGTGGTAACTTTTGGTCTCTAAGTTTTCAGAGCCTGCCATGCTAGCCTCCCCTGAGCTTGTCAGTTTAGTTTGTAGCCCCTTTTCTGTCCACAGAAAATTAATGACAAACTTGAAAAAAATTTGTAAGTGAGATCAAACGGCTAATTTTCTGAGAGGTAAAAGCTCCTATGAATCAGTAAAAGCCAAAAACTCAAAAATGTGTTATGATGCCCTATCTCATGTGTAATTAAAAAAACATGAAAATTAGAGCTATACTGAGATAGTCATTTCCACTTACGTTAGCAAAGATGAAAACATTTAATGGATTGTGTGGACTGAGATGTGAGGAGACAAATGTTCTCATATAGTGCAGGTGGGGTATAAATTCATACCTCTGTGGAGAACACTTTAAAAATATCTGTTAAAATTAAAAATGCATGTAGTATTTGAACCAGAACTTTCATTTCTAGGCATTTATCTTACATGGGTACTCACAGAACTCCAAATGACTATTTCACCAGCTTAGTCACTGTATCACTATCTATAGTAACAGAAGATGAGAAACACTTTAAATCTTCTTGGCAGGGCCCTGGTGAAATAAATGCTACAATGGAATATGCAGCTATAATAAAAAGGAATGAGGACACATATGCACTGGTATGGAAATCTCCAAATCACATGGTACAAAAAAAGAGTATATTAACTTATATTAAAATATATATTTTATATGAACATACATACATATGATTTTCCTTGGATATGCATAAAATATCTTTGGAAAAAGCACAAGAAACTTGAGGGAAGACTGGACGTCTAGGGTCCCTGTTCTGCAGCCCTGTGCTGGTGCTCCAGCCTCCCTGCCTTCTTTCACTTCTTCAAACTCTCCATGCTTAGCATTTGTGTTTGTTGTCCTGTCTCCCCAGAGCCTTGAGTGACTCTCTGGCCCTTGTGTGCACCAAGGTCCCTCCTGGTACTGCTGTGGTGCCCTGGGGCCCCACATTTATCCCTGTCCCCCCTGTACTCAGAGTGAGGGCTGGCCTGCCTCCACCTGGTCACGTCGTTGGTTGACCAAAAGTGCCTTGAAATGAATCCTCCCCCTTCTGTCCAAGGACCTTCATTCGATGAATAAGGTGATGTATAAATATCTAGCCACCGCTCCTCATGCAGGATAACGGAGGAGTATGTTTCATGGGCTCCCAGGAGAACTGAGCTTCAGTTGCCTGTGGTGGGAGGTGGCATGTTATCATACCCTTGACCGGTTGCCTCTCCTTTCCTGTCTCACTTCCTCCCTGAATCTGTCAGATAAGCAACTTGCATTCAAACGCTTGTGTCAGTCTGCATCTGGAACCCCACTTTCCTGCTCCAGACGCTGCCTTGCCCCATTACTCTGTTTCCTCAAAAGAGCTGATCCTATGTTGAATCCCACTCTCCTCTCTCTCCTCTTTCTGCTGCTTTCTTTCATGAAACTGCTGCTAATAAATCCACAGTGTCCTCTGTGTTGCTAAATGCCAGGCCTGTCATACTCATCAGTCATCAGTGTTTGACTTTCTCAAAACACTTAGTTCACTTGGGTGTTTGGACCCCATACTCACCTCCTTGCTGGCCTCACCATCACTCTTTCATCATTTCTTGCTGTTTGCTCCCCACCTCCCTGACCCAGACCTTGGACCATGGACCTCTAGTTATTGATCCAGCTCAAATATAGAGCACAGAACTCCATATCTCAACATCTCCACTTGAATATCCCAAACTTCATATTTCCAAAATTGAAGTCCTGATCTTCCTACTCAAACTGACTCCACTGAGAATGGAGCTCCCTCATCCATTTCCTGTCATCTAAACCTTTCTGCCATCCACCTTTGACCCTTATGTAAGCTATTGGCAGAGCCTATCAATTCTACCTTCAAAATATACCCAGGATCTGACTATCTCTTTACCTCCTCTGCCATTACCTGCTCCACCAGCCCCATTTCCTGCCTAGATTATGCAATATCCATCCTCAACTGGTCCCCTTGCTTCAGCCCTTGCTTCCCTGAAGTCTGTTCTCACACAGAAGCAGGACTGAACCCTTTGTGACTGAAGCCAGGTCATGACACTTATCTGCTCAGAACCCTCCTGTGGTTCTGTTGTCACTCAAAATAAGTGCCAAGGGCTGCTCATGGTCTCCACACACAGAAAGGCCCATGTCACCTCTCTAGCCATGTCCCTGAGATGCTCTCACTCCCTGACATCACTCCACCCAATTTTGGGAGACAGTTCTGGCTCTCTAATATCCCTGCATGGCCGGACAGAGCACTGATTATCTTTGCAAGGATGACTGAACAGCAAATTAGAAACAGACACTTTTCAGAGTGGCAAAGTCCTCTCTTCTGCAGATTAGCTGGCTCTTCCACAAAAAGGCCATATATGCAAAGTGAACCCCAAACACTGAAGGAGCCGAGAGAATGAGGCAGACAAGTCCAGCTTGTCAGTTAATGAGTTTAACAGGGAACTTATGTACAGAAACATGGTTGGGGAAGAGGAGAGCAGCAGGACCTTCAGGTCTCTGTCTCTTTCACCTCAGACCATCCGCTTACGTCTCTGCTTAGGAATAAACCTAGTGCTAGGAAGGGAATACGTGGGTGCTCGGGTGATGGGACCAGATACCAGGAGGCCCTGGCACCAAGGTGACCTAAGAGATACAAGGTGTGATCAAACAATACAGTGAGTGTTTAAATTAAAAATAAAATTATTACAGTAAAAGACACATTGCCTGCCATTAATCTCCCTCAAAATACTCTCCCTCGCTTCAGACACACTTATCCCATTTTTTTTTCACTTTCTGAAGCAGTTCTGGAAGTTCTCATTCATGAGCATCTAGTTGCGCTGTCGTGGCTGCCTCAATGTCCTGAATCATTTTGACTTTGGGGAAGAGACAGAAGTTGCACGGTGCCAGATCTGGTGAATAAGGTGGATGAGGACACACCGTAATGTTTTTATTTGACAGAAATTGCCGTATACCAGAAGCGATGTGTGACATGGAGCATTATCATGATGGAGGATGATTTACAGCACACTTTAAAACACACCTTCTCTCAACCATAGCTCACACCTGACTGACTGCACTGCATGAGTTGAAACTTGTCACACACTATTACTAAGGTTCCCGTATTGAAGATGCCTTTCCATTGGATGGCACTCGGCAGCAGCATTCACCATATTTTGTGACCACAACGGAAAGACTCCTTGTCCCAGAGGAAGGATTAATAGAAACTCTGTAATTACCCTAGAGCCTCTGTACACATCCCAGAGCCCATCCCAGGGGAAGGGAAAAGGATTGGAGTCAAGGGTTCAGGTTCAGTAAATGGCAGATTAGCTTCAAGATTGAATCAGCTGTGTCCACACACCTGCAGTCCAGGATGACATGCCCAGAGACCCATTCCTCTCTCCCAAAGATGCTTGCATCACAGGAAAATGAGTAATTTCTCTCTGGAGAAGAGGAGAGGTAGGTTATCTGCAGCCCTGATAAAAATCTCACAGCCTCCTAATTTAGGGGTTCCTCTCCTTTGATGCAAACCCACTACATGCACAGGCGAGAGTCACATCCCCCCCATGGGGAGTAGGGGCTTCAGAAGGTACTATTTTGACTGCTGTTTTTACTGTAAGTGATGAATGATTTCTTTGTCCAGAGCTCTAAGGAGGTATATCCATATATATGAAACTGAGGTAGGCTAACCTGTTAGCTCTTTCTTTTTTTTTTTTAAGGTTAAGTTTTTAAAATTTTTATTGTGAAATAAAAAATTTTTTAAATTAGTTTCAGGTGTACAACACAGTGCAAGTTATACTTTTTACTCCTCAAAGTGACAACCCCCTTACCCAGTCTGCCGCCTCACTTTCCCCTCTCCCCCATATGATACATATCTATTACAATTCCCTTGACACCACTCCCACACTATACTTCACGTCCCGTGACTATATATCTATATCTATATCTATATCTATATCATCTATATCTATATATCTATATATATACATATATACTCACTTATAGTTGACATACAATATTATACAACATCAGCTTCAGGTGTACAGTGCAGTGATC